TTCACATGACGGAAAAAGAGCAAGAGAGTTCTATGGGTCCTTTATAAGGCACCAATACCATCACATTGAGGGCTAGATTTCAACAAAAATTTTGTGGGGATACAACAGTCAGTCTATAACAGCCTCTTAAAGTGAGTTGTTCCTAAGAAACAGTGTGGAACCCACAAAAAAATGAAGTTGAAACCTGAACTCATATGGAAATAAAACCCAGCTGTGTATGAGACGTATGACAATGGGCTAGTAGTTGAATGGACTCACTGCCACCTCTGGCCAAGGAAAGAGACTGGCTTACAAAATAAGCTTACGAAAGTATAAATTCAAAACTAGTAACTTAGACTAGGATCCAGTGTCCAGAGCCTATATTCCCTGGAGACCTTTTAAAAATAATTTTTTATCTTTTGGAAAATTTTTAGATTTACATAAAGTCATGAAGATAATACAGAGAATCTTGTTACTATTCACCCAAATTCCTCAACTGTTAACTTCTTACATAACAATGGTACGTTTGTCAAAACTAAGAGATTAACACTGGCATATTTCTATGAACTAAACTCTACATTTTATTCAGATTTCACCAGTTTCACCACTAATGTTCTAACCTTGGGCCTTTTAAAAAAATGTTTACAGCAAGAAACCAAAGGATGAGACAGGTGGTGCGGAACCCTGTAGAACACTGGGTCTTAGTCTCAACTCTGCGACATGCTAACGTAGAACCATAGAGTTTATTTCCTGAGCTTGTTTTCTCCCTAAAAGTACTTCTGTCTCACAAATGCTGACTCTAGACATGATTCCAATTTACCCTTCATCTCTCTATCTAAGCTCCTCTCTGACAACCACCAAGAGTTAGGGAAGACGTCCCTGACTTGGTAGTGACTCCAAGACTGTCTAGAGAATACAGTCCCTTTGAGATTTTCAGATCTCAAAATTATTTCAAAATCCATGTATGTCTCAAGTGGCTGGGGGATGGGCAGCCTTTCTTCAGGAATCAAAGTGCATTCTGCAGCAGAGACGATAGCTATCCAACAACATCCATTTTTCCCTTTTTCCTAGGTGTGCATTACATTTCTCAGGCTCCCTTGCATTAAGGGACAGCCATGCAACTAAGTTGTAGCCAACAGAAAGTGAGTGGAAGTGTGTGCCACTTTTAGAGCTGGCCCATAACACCTGCCAAGCAATCCTCCAAGCTCTGCTCAACTCACTAAAATGGCAAAGCCCAAGTACCATGGGAGGTCATGTTAATGTTGGCACCAGCCTTGTCCCTAAATAACTGCATGGAGTAGAGTATCCCCAGTCCCACTGCCCCAACCTGAAACTACCCTGGACATTATGAGTGAGGAGGGAGTAAAACACCTTCTGTTGTGGTAAGCCAGTCCATTTGGAGGCTATCACACCAGCTTAGGTCATCCTAACGCAGGAACTAAATCTCAATTTTGTTAGTGCAAGATCTTGCTTCTGTAGCTATGCTTAGGGCCTCAGGTGCTGACAGGTGAGGTGATCACACATGCCTGAGTTCAGGGCACACTACCATATTTAACCATACAAGGCCTCTATCGTTTTCCTTTCCCTCCTTCATTTCCCATTCTAGTCCCATTCTGTTCCTTCCCACAGACCCTAGTCTAGTGAGTTAAGGTATACACACACACACACACACACACACACACACACACACACACACACAATCTTCCTTAAAAATGATGCTGCTCTGTGTGTTTCACTTACTTAGCCTATTTTTGCTGTAAATTTCATTGTTCCTATCTTCCTCACCTGGAGTCCAGTGTCACTAAGTTCCTAATTGCCTGCATCTGACTGCTTTTTATACTATTCCATCATAGGCATATACCGTTGTATTTATCATTTCCTGTAGAGAGAGACATTTAAGTTGCTTCCAGTATCTTGCTCCCCAAACTATATACATAGATAAAGATCCTCATACATAACTCCTCGCAGATTTGTGCAAGTTCTCTGAAAGGAGTGCAACTGCTATGAGGTAAGGTATGTATGTACTTAACAAATTCGTTATCTATTGCTATGTAACAAATTACCTCAAATCAGCAGCTTAAAACAATAATACCCACAGAACGAGAGAAAATATTTACAAATCATATAACTGATAAGAGACCTGTAATCCAGAATAAACGATTCTATATAAGTGTATACGTTTGTCCGTATGTGTATATAAATGTGTATATATGAAAAGTAACCCAATTAAAAAATGGGCAAAGGATTTGAATAAACATTTCTCCAAAAAAGGTACATAGAGATATTCAACATCATTAGTCATTAGGAAAATGCAAATCAAAATCACAATGAGATACCATTTCATACCCACTGGAATGGTTAAAATCAAGAGAGATAATAAGTGTTGACAAGGATATGAAGAAATTGGAACTCTTATGTACTGGTTTGGAAGTGTGGTCGTTCCTCAAAAAGTTAAACGTGGAGTTACCATATGACTGAGCAGCAGTTCTATTTCAGGAAAAATGAAAACCTACGTCCATACAAAAACTTGTCCATGAAGGTTCACAGCATTATTCACAATAGCCCAAAATTGGAAGCTACTCAAATATCCATTAATTGATACATGAATAAAATGTGGTATATCCATACAAGGGAATACTATTCAGCCATAAAAAGGAAGTATCGATATATACTACAACATGGATGAACCTTGAAAACATTATGCTCAGTGAAAGGAGCCAGACACAAAATGCTATATAGTATATGACAGTCCTACTCACATATTACATGAAATGTCTAGAACAGGCAAATCTATAGCAAGAGAAAAAAAAGAGTGGTTGACTAGGGCTGGGGAGTTGGGGAAAAGTTGAGAGTGACTGGATACAAAGTTTCTTATATCCCTAGGGTGATCAATATGTTTTAAAATTGTGGTGATGGCTGTACAATTCTGATACCTCAAAACCACTGAATTATACACTTTAAATGAGTAAACAGTTTAGTAATGAATTATATCTCAATAAAACTTTTTTTTTTTTTTTAAATAATAAACACCTATTATCTCACGGTTTCTTTGGATTAAGAATTTGGAGTTGGGTGATTCTGGCTCAGGATCTCTCATGAGGCTGTGGTCACACTGTTAATCAGAGCCACACACATCTTAAGGCTTGAATGGAGCTAGAAAATCCACTTCCAAGGTAGTTCACTTATGTGGTTGGTAACTTGATGTTGTCTACTGGTGAGAGGCCTCAGATCTTCTCCACATGGGCCTCTCCAGAGGGCTGCTTGAATGTCTTTTATGACCTAGCCTCAGAAGTCACACATGTCCAGTACACCCTATTAGTTACACACCTGTAGAAGAGGACTACACAGGGCTTGAATATCAGGAGTCAGGGATCACTGGGGGCCATCTTGGCACCTGGCTATGAACACTCAATAAGGAAGATGATAATAACAGCTAACAATACTGTGACAAGTACTATGTTCCAGGCACTATTCTAAGCTCACAATAAACCTATGATGTAAGTATTATCTCCATTTCACAGATGAAGAAACTAAGGCACAGAGAAATTAAGTGGCTTATCAAGGTCACACACTTAGTAAAAGACCTAGCTAGGATTCAAACTTAGGCAGTAGCACACCAAAACATACTCTTAAAAACTATGTAATACCACAACCCAGATATTTCTTTATTTCAATTAAGTGCTGCCCGTTTGTTCTCTAGAATGGATGCACCAGCTGGAACTCATGACTTTTCATTCACCATGAGAATTCAGTCTCCTGCTTATTTTTTCCAAACTAATAAAGTAGAAACTCATTAGTATTTTCATTTGCATTTCTCTAATTACTGGTGAGGTAACATACTCGTTAGCCATTCTGGTTTTACCTTTAGATTTTACCTACTCATACTTTGCCCTTTTTTTATTTTGTTTTTTCCCAATTTGCAGTTGTTTTATATTCGATCCCTTATATAATGCAATCCCCTTGTCAGTTTAGACACTGCAAACATTTCTCCTAAACTATATCCATCTGTAGCCTTGACTACAGGATGCTTTATTGACTAGAAATCTTTAATTATGAAGTCATCAAAGTTATCACATCTTATGAATTGTGCTTTGGGGATCTTTCTCCTCACCCCAAGGTCACAAAGACATAATCTATTTTTCTTACTAGCTTTAGCATTTCACCTTTCATTTAGGCTTTAATCACTTTGGAATGTCTTTGTTTTATATGGTTTGAGGCAGGGATCCAACCTTATTTTTGTCCATATAATAAGCCAATTTTCTGAGCACCATCATCCATATCTTCTCCACTAACCTGTGATACTACCTTTATCAGGTCTAAGTAGCCATGTCTATTTCCAAGTCCAGTTTAGCACTAACTTTTATTTTCTAAGAGGACAGATCTATTACGGTAAAGGCTTCACCGATCCAGTAGTCCCCCCTCATCTGCAGGGGATCCTCCAGTGGATACCTAAAACCATGGATAGTACTGAACCTTACAAACACTATGATTTTTCCTATATATAAATACCGTTTCACTTAAAGGAAGCACTTCACAGCTTCACTTTGGCACATCCAAACTGCCAGCCAGCATCCCTTTTCTTGTGCTTTGGAGCCATTATTAGGTAAAATAAGGGTTACTTAAACCACAAGCACTGCGATATTACAACAGTCGATCTGGTAACCTAGATGGCTACTAAGTGACTAATGGGCGGGTAACATTATAGCACAGAAATGCTGGACACAGGGATGATTCACATTCTGGGAGGGATGGATCAGGACAGAGCAAGATTTCATTACGCTACTCAGAACAATGGGGGGCAATTTAAAACTTATGAATTATTTCTGGAATTTTCCATTTAATATTTTCAAACCACAGTTGACCATGGGTAACTGAAACCACAGAAAGCAAAACTGCAAATGAGGTACTACTATATAGTGCTTTCTGGATTAATGAAAAATCCAGCTATCACCATCCATGATCCATGAGGGTTCAACACTAGCTTGCATTCTTCCCAAAAACAGAATACCCAGTTAATAAAGTGATTTTAAAAAAATAAATGTATGTTTATTTAAAAAAAACTTAACCAAGAACAAATCCTGGGAGACTAAGAAATCAATGTTTTCTTTGAAAGCCAGCAACGGCCAGCATTAACACCTGAGAAGTTACAGGTGCCTCTGTCCAAACATCGGGTGTCAAATCTTCTTCTTCTCAAATGCTAGTAGTCAAAACTGGCATTCAACAAGTTGCTGGTCTGTGTGGGCCCTGAATATTAGCATAAACAACTGTTACAGCTGGATATGTGGCTACCCTATGTCCACTACCACAACCACAGCCACCCTCACAGCCTCAGAAAAGTTACATATCCTCCACACTCCACTTGTAGGCAAGTTCCTCCACTGCCTTCTTGCTGGCAAGCCTGGCAAAGCGCTTCTGTTCAAATCCGTTGGATCTGCAATCAAGAGATAATAATCAGCCAGAATCATAAACTGGACACTTATTTTTGAAAAAAAGAGAAGAGTTCACAATCTAATGAATAAGGAAGAAAAAAAGGGAGTCCTGTGAAAATATTTAAGGAATATGCAATAGAATCAAAGGGGCAAAATATATAATTCATCCTCTTATTAGCCCTTGTTCAGATCTTTTTCTCAGTCTTTGACAACTGTTTCAAGAATTTACCACTCTCTAAAAGCCCAACTCACTCTCAGTCAATGTCTACATCTTATATTTTATCCATTCATTACATAAACATTGAGAGAATTCTATTACACAGTAGGCACTGTGTCATGAAAATGAGTATGACAAAGCATCTGTCCTGATGAACTCAAAAGTTAGTAAAGGAAACTGACATTTAAACAGATAATTCAAATAAAATGCATAAGCCATGACAGAAGTATGCATCGGGAGGCACAGAAACAGAATGGAGATCTTACTCAGCTTGGGTGGGAGATGGACAATAGTCAGAAAAGGCTTCATGGAGGTGGCCCCTAAGCTAAGTCTGAAAAACAGAATTAACTAGAGAGTTGGAGGTGGGGAGGGCTGGAGGAATTGGGGATAGATTTAAAGCAGGAGCATAAACTGCATTTCAAAGAGATCACTCTGGGGATGAGACAGGAAAGTTACTGCAATGGTCCAGCCAACAGATGATGAAAACAATGATAAAGAAGATAGACAGAAAGAGAGAAGACATAGTAGGAATTAGTGACTGATTAAATATATAAATGCAAAGGAGAAAAAGGTAAGTTTGACCCCCAAATTAATAATTTTAGTGACTACTAAATGAATGAAGCTACTACTAACTAGGATAGAACAAAAGAGTAGGAGTAGGTTTAGAGAAAGTTGATGAAAAAGGGAACCAAAAGGAAAAATCTAGGAAAAAATAAGAACGAGAAGTGGAGGAAAATTTCTGGGAGAGATGGAGAAAAATTAGACATCAGTAAAAAACTAGGTCAGGGAGAGTTCTAAGTTTTGGGTCCAGGAATTAAAAAAGAATACTCAGTAGAGCAGGGAACATCTTTAGGATTGTGGATACAAAAATATCTACTTCTGGTTATATGGTAAATTAGTTTTCTGAAAAATCTTCCTGCTACCAAAGAGCCTATATATAGTGAGCTGCAAACCAAAGTAGGATGCTAGCCTGAGAGGACAACCATCCTAAGAACACCTGTCACTATGAGGAACCAGAGCCTTGAATTTTGATGGCAGCTTCAGAGACAGAAGACAATGCCTTACACCCATATAAGGTAAAGCAGTGGATTCCAATCACAGCAGAGGAACTTAATAGACTAATGTACCCTCAGACAGCAATTACAAGATCTAGACAAAATATAAAAATACAAGCATTTGAAAGTACTTGAAGGCTTGGAGGGTGACCAAAAGCAGACAGAATCAAGATGGGAGTCTATACATGAAGAGAGATTTGTGTGGCTTTTTGCAGGGGGACACTTGCCACTCTACATAGCTAAGGAAGACAGAAAGACACAAGCTTATTGGCTTGAGGCATCAGTGCAAAGGGGGCAGAGCCGCAAAAGGGATGAAGCTCCAAGTCTGTATATAAACTGCTCCCAAATCCTCAGCTAACTGCTAAACTGTGCTTGTACAAGGGAAACGCCATTAGGCCCGATGAAAAAGCAACAGCTAGAAATTAAAAAACTAACTAGAATTTTTAGCTGCTGTCCACTGCAAAGGAGACAGAGTTTGGAGTTCAAAAACAGCCAAGTTAACTGTCTACTGGAATAAAAGTCAACATACTTCAGAGGAATATGACAGAATTCAAAGTCTCTACAACGAATCATTTATAATGTCCAGTATACATTTAAAAATGACCAGATATCCAAAGAAACACTAAAATGTGATCGAACTCAAGAAAAAGTTATTAATAGAAAACTAATCCTGAGGTGACCAAATGTTGCAATTAACAGACAGGATTTCAAAGCACTAATTATAAATATTCTCAAGGAAAAAGAAAAGGTCTCAATGAATAAACAGTTGAGAAATTCATCAGAGAAATGTAAACTATCAAATAGAAATTCTAGAGTTGGAAATACAATAAAATAGCTTAAATGAAAAATTCATTTATGGGCCTAAAGGATTGGAGATGGCAAAGAGTCAATGAACTTGAAAACATATCAAGAGAAATTATCCCATTTTAAGAACACAGAGAAAAAAAGAGAGATCAAGGACCTGGGCAAAGTGGTGGAGGTGATAGATGCTTCGTTCATCCCCTCTTGCGACCACATCAAAGTTGAGACAAAAACACAGTGCAAAACAGCAAGCACTGTTGCCCTGGGGATCTAGAGGAACAGAAGCCCTACAACTAGGGACAGAAATCAGAAATCACCCCGCAATGGTCGGAGGTAGGAGCAGAAGAAGATGCAAGACTGGCTGAGTGGGACAGAGGCTACAGCAGCCGCCTCTGAAAGGGGCCATGTCTGTGAGCAGACTTTCGTGGTGACCGACCTGCTCGCTCTGAGCACCAGCGCTGAGTGGGCTGCTCAGGTGACACCAGAGACTTACAGGGGGACACTGAGTTGTCGGAGCAAGGGCCAGAGGCAAGGCTTTCTCCCAAGCATAAGTGCTGACGGTATCCATTGAGCTCTACCCTGCCTCCCATTGTGCAGACACAGCACTGCCATAGCTGAGACATCATCAAACTAGATTATAGAGGTCATTCGCACCCAGAAGAACTGGGTGGGAATGAAACTCTGCCTCCCCCAACTCATGGCCCTACCCAAGCCACATTCAGTTGTGTCCTCAGTGACACCTGTGCCACTTGCTGAGCAGCACCAAACCTCACACTGGTAGCAGCTGACCTCGGTTTCCAGTGTGACTTCTTGAAGCAACTATAAGCACAGCATCTGTGTAACGCTTGCTGAATCTTAACAGATGGCCGCAGAGGGACACAGGCTGGGGCCAAATTTGGCCTGTAGCTGAACCCCTCTCAGGACTGTGCCACTGGACACCTACCACACAAAGCCACGCTAATAAGACCTGGAGACTTGGGAGCTTTGATTAGTACATAGAAACAGACACAGAAAGGCAGCCAAAATGGGAAGACAAAGAAGCAGAAACCATATGAGAACAGAACAGAGATCTGGGAATAATGGAGTCAAACAATCTAACAGAGGTGGAGTTCAAAACACTGGTTATAAAGATGCTCCGTGAAATTGAGGGAAGTGTTGATGAACTCAGTGAGAACTTTCACAAAGAGATAAAAAACATAAAAATGGAAATGGAAATTATGAAAGGGAACCAGTCAGAAATGAAGAAAACATTATCTGAGAGGAAGAGTATATTAGAGAGAATCAACAGAATGGAGGAAGAAGAGAATCAAAACACGGATATAGAGGATGGGGAAACCAAGGACACTCAATCAGAATGGCGAGAAAAAAAGTAACCAAGATTATAATAATAATTTAAGGAGCCCATGGGACAAAATTACAGTTAACAACATCCATGTCACAGGGGTACCTGAAGAGGGAGAACAAGAAGTTGAATATATATTTGAAGAAATAACGATGGAAAACTTCCCTAACCTGGTGAAGGAAATAAACATACAACTCCAGGAAGCTCAGAGAGTATCAAGATAGAGGGACCCAAAGAGGCCCACACCAAGACACATCATAATTCAAATGCCAAAGGTTAAATACAAAGAATCTTATAAGCAGCAAGAGAAAAGCAGTTAGTTACCTACAAGAGAGCTCCCATAAGTCTGGTGGCCGATTTCTCAAAAGAAACTTTGCAAGATAGAAGGGCTTGGCACAAAATATTCAAAGTGTTGAAAACCCAGGATCTACAACCAAGAATACTTTATCCAGCAAAGCTATCATTTACAGTCAAAGGACAAATAATGAGCTTCCCAGACCAAAACAAGCTAAAGGAATTCATCAACGCCAAGCCAGTATTACAGGAATTGTTGGAGGGACTTCTTTAAGAAGAAAAAACATGTATCAGAAACATGAATAAAGAATGGTAATAACTACATTCTTATCAACAAGTATCTCAAATGGAAAAGAATTAAGTGCTCCAACCAAAAGAAAGAGAAGCTGCATGGATAAGAAAACGAGACCCCTACATATGCTGTCTACAAGAGACTCACTTCAGATTAAGAAACCCACAGACTAAAAGGAAGGGGATGGAAAAAGAAACTGCCTAGAGGGTATTGTGCTCCATGAAGTCAGACAGAGAAAGACAAATACCACCATTTCACGTAAAGAACAAAATAACAACAACAAGAACGAAAACAAATTCATAGATACAGAGAATATTTTCAGGGATACTAGACCATAAGAAGGGTTGGGGGAGGTGGGGTATGGTGAAAAAGGGCAAAGGGATTAAGAAGTACAAACGGACACATACAAAACAGTCATGGAGATATATATAAAGTGCAGCATAAGGAAAATAGTCAACAATGTAAAAAAATATGTAAGGAGGAAGAGGGGTACTTGGTTTAGTGGGGTGACCACTTTGTGAGTTCTATAAATCTCTAATCACTATGCTGTACAATTGAAACTAATATATTATTGTATGCCAACTATAATTGAAAAAAAATCATTGAATTGTACAATGTAAATATGAGCAACTAATTGTCTAATTCAATAAAACTGGCGACAGGGGAGAGAAAAAGAATTGAGAGAAAAACAATGAGAGAAAAACGAATAGGACTTCAGAGATCTGAGGGATGATACCAAGTGGTAGAAAATAGTGTAATTGGATGAGAAGAGTGGTTCGGAAAAAAATAATTGAAGAAAAAATAGCCAAATACTTCCCAAATGTGAAAAACATAAACTCACAGATCCAGAAAGCTCAATAAGCCCAAAGTAGGATAAAGTCAAAGAAAACAACACCTAGGTACATAATATTCAAACTGCTGAAAACCGAAGACAAGAAGAAAATCTTGAATGCTACCAGAGAAAAACAATACATTACAATGTGGAGGTGGGGGTGGGGTTAATAATAAAACAAATGAGGACTGAGGGTTGACTTCTAATTATAAACAATGGAGGCCAGAAAATGATGAAACATCTTTAAAGAGCTGACAAAAATTTGAGCTTCCAAGTATTAATTAGAATTTTGAAAAATGTGTATCCATCACCATGAATTCTTTAACTTCCTGTTAAAGACTTTTGTGATGAGATCACAGGTACTGTTAACAACTACAGGATTATCTGATATTGTATAATGAAATATGTCAACATTTGGAAGGTCTGAAAAACTCAGCAAAATATCTTCTAAATGACTAGTGTGCAATATTATAAAATCACGCAGTGGTAAAAGATCCATCCAAAGTAGAAAAAAAAATCACCAATGGATTTTAATGTAACAGTATGAAAGTTTTTTGATATAGTTTCACCTTCCATATTATAAATAACCTTTAAGAAACTACCACTTGTTGAGTTCTTGTCCCGTATCAAAAAATATAATACACCTTCCTTTTCTAACTACCTATATAAAGTTGAATTTTCTGCCTATTCTTCAACTAAATATATTGCAACAGACTAAATGCAGAATCCTGCTATCTACTAGTAAGTCAGATATTGAGATTTTCAAAAATGTAAATTCTATTTTTTTTGGTTTGGAAAATATAATTATTTTTCTTTTAAAATATGGTAATTATGATAATGTAATGGCTTTATTATTTTTAATGAATTAGTAAATGCTTTTTAAACTCATCAGTTTAATTTCTAATATGGTAAGTATTAAGATATAACCCACATAAATAAAAGTTTTGGGGGATCCTCAATAATTTTTAAGAGAGTAAAGGGGTCTTGAGATCAAAACGTTTGAGAATCATTGTGCTAGATGCTAGAACAATGTCCCTTAGTAGGCAAGAGGAGATGGGATCCAACATGTAAGTAGGGGGCGCTGACTTTGGATAGGAGCACATATAGTTCATCCATGATAACAGGTAAGAAGTTAAGAGTATGTGCATACAGATGCAGGCAGATGAATAGGTAAGGTGGTAGGAGGTCAGTGAGACATTACAAGTAACTCACTCTTAAGATGATTCAAGGGCTACATTTTAGATACAACATACAAAAGGCTCCAGACTACCATCCATCACTCATCCCCTCTAAACCTTAGAAAATATCATTAGAAGTGACCAGCATCAAAAACAAAGGGTGTCTGTCCTTTCTGGACCACCTGAGTTGTTTGTCCAGAGTCTTCTAAGCTTTGAAAAGGAAAAAAGAAAGAGGAGTGTTCTAAGCACAGGAAATGGGATTTGAGGACCTCAGAAATAGAAGCAAGCAAACTACGTATTACTAACACTGTGATTAGAGCAGAGAATGAGGCAGAGTATAGAGTGATTTACAGTTAGGGAGTTAGGGTCAGGTATAAGAGAAAACAAGTGTAGGAAATATTAAGGCTTACCTGTCCACACCATCCCAGCGATATCCAGGCCAAATATTAAATCTGTTGGGAGGTGGTGCTGGGCCAGTGTAGCGAGGTCTCACTAATGAGAGGAGAGAGAGAAAACAAGTCAGTTATCTATACAATTCAATACAGAGCTAGCTGGCAGTGGAAAAAATTTTTATTTAGAACTCTCTATTGGGTTGAACCTAAACTCCCAAATACAAGAAACATAGATTGTATGAGAAAGCCTTCTTTGCACATAGCTATGTTATCATCGCCCTAAAGATTCTCTCTTTGCATAAGTCACCTCCAACCCTGATGATTCCCAAAAGGCTCACCTTTCTTATTCTTGTTCTCTTTGGCCTTACTCTTCTTGATAAAGTTGGCCATTGGGTCCCCTTCTCTTTCTTGTTCTCTCAGCATCCGATCCAGATCTTCATCATCAATATAGCGAGCCAGAGGCTTTTGCATTTCCTTTATTGCATCCTCCACATTTTGTTGCTGCTGTCGGCTCTGGGCAAGCCTAGGCAAAAAGAACCAAGGCTATTTGCTATCCTGTTTAACATTTCTATTCTTACGCTAACATGGACCACACTGCTACATTTGGAGAATCTCCACTTTCTAGCAGCCTAGGTCAAATATTGAAAAGGGCAAAATTCCTAGACTACCAACTGGAAGTGTAGATGATATCAATATTTAGGAAGACTGAGCACACTGAATTTCCCATTCCTGAAAAGAGTTTTAAAACAGAACATGAACTAAATGATCAGAAGAATAGAGAAAATGACTTTCTCCAGTCACCACGGTCTTGTTTTATGTTTCAGTAGTTCCCTTACCCTTTTCCCCACTTGGCATACATCTCATCTCTCTTCAAGTCCTTCTCTGCTTTTCTCCTTTGCTCTAAACGTTCCAGTTTCAAATTCCTCTTACGACCAGACTTATCTCGAAATATGGTTTCAGCATATTGAAATTCAGCTGCAAAAGAAAATTATACTTTTAAAGATAAATACTAGGTATCAAAATCAGAAATAATATTTTGATACCTGAAATCAACCACTTGGGATCCTGATGCTAATTAAGAACTTTTGCAGCCAGACTAAAAGTAGTTCCTACTAATGTCTAAGTGTATATTGATGATGATCCTAAAAACTAACATTTTTCAAGAAGGAAAAGAACCAGCTGGACCCACTAAGAAGTTAAAATAATGCATAAAACCAGAGCTGAAATTTGATAGCAATTAAAATATCAGGTACAATAAGCTACATTGAAAAAATAAAATAAAAGCTACATGAGCCTCAATTGGTCTCTGCACTTTTACATTTTTACCTTCAAATGCCATGGTTTCTTGGTCCCGTTTCTTGAGTTCCTCCTGCTCTCGCTGTATGTCAGTTAACACCAACCCAGTTCTAGCCCCAGAATACATGTGTGCAGCCTATGCAATGGAAAAGGGAGCATCCAATATTAATGAGACAATGTAGCAGTAGGCTCCATGGATATACACAGTTAGGTGCATTTTTGTTTGATGATCAGCAATAACCAAACCAGAAACTCTAGCTTTATATTCTTATTATCAGCCACAGGATTCACAAAATAGAAAAGAATAAAATTGAATTTCATGGAAAATTAATTATACTATCAAGGTTAAGAGTAAACACAAACCAACAAGATATTAAAGGGAAGGCTAAGCATCTATATTCCTGACTTTTCAGCATATAAACTGCACACATGAAGACTCACTCTCCAGTTACCTGACCAGAAACCTGTATCAAGCTCTAAGCTCTCCAGTAGACCCACACTGATAAAACATTCCATTTAAAATACAAACTCAATCAAACATAAGATCCTTAAGTTGTGGATATATTTCAGGATAATAAAAAGATAAGACCAAATCAGAACTTTTTACTAAGCTCCACCTTGTATCAAGATAACAAACCAACCCACAAATGGAATATACACCATATCCTGATATCCTTAAGCAATGTGATAAATTTGATTAGGACAAATATTAAATTGTCATGGACTAAACAGATACATAAAATGTCGAGGTCCAGTTGATACACACACCTCATTTTGTTCCCAAAAAGATACATAAAATGTCAAGGTCCTAACCCCTAGGTTAGGGACAGACCGCTCTACTCTACCAGGACCACGTGGACTATGGAGAAGACTTACCTGAAAAGTCTGTGTTGCAGAGAGATGTACAGCAGAGAGATGTACACACCACAGGCTCTATCATCTATTTCGTAACCAATTCACTGGAATAAGATTCCTTCACTAGTACTGGTGTTCTTTAAAACACAATTACTCAGGGTTCATGTGGACTTGTTGTTGTTAATTCAGGTTTCAACATAGTTTTAAAATAAAACACTGACTTCTCAGGTGATATGATTTCTAAAGTAGTTTTATATTTTAAGTATCTCTTTTTAAGCTCTGGAGACAGAGACCTGCAGTCCAATTTAAAATAATAAGTACTTACACTAAATACTTACTTTGTCCCAGGCACTGTGCCAAGAGTTTTACTTACGCTAACTCATTTTATTCTCACAATAACCTTAAAAGTATGCACTATTATTACCCACATTTTACAAATTAAGGAGCTGAGGCTCAAAGATACTATGTATCTTGCTCAAATTTTACAGATTACAAGTGGAAGAAGTAGGATTTGAATATGTGATCTATGTGACACAAAGTCTGTGCTCCTAACTCCACTCTGTAAACTATAGGTCTGTTTACTCCTAAGGAAATAGGAAGTTTTTCTGGACCTATTAAAATGAGATTTGTGAGATTAAAAGAATAAAAAGGCAGAAGCTACTTAGAAAATCTGGTATTTGCAAGTTCACCTGGGTTGGGTTATAGGCAGTCCTGCCTTCAGAGAAAAGGAAAGACCTCTAGAGGTCCTTTGTGCTAGATTTACTAAATTGGCAAGATCTCCCTCCTCCTCCTCCTCTGGCTTGAACCTCTGGTACTTGTACAGAAGACAGGAGTCTCTCTGAGAGAATATGGCTCCTAAAAATTCCTACCTTCTTTCCCGGAGGCTGAGTCCTTCGAGGTGGAGACAGATCGGAATCTGAAGATTTGGCCCCCTGTTTCCTCCTTGGTGGAGAGAGGTCAGAACTAGAGCTCTGGTGTCTAAGTCTGTCCCGTGGAGGGGACAGATCTGAATCAGAGTCCTGATGCCCTGGACTTTGTTTCTTCCGTGGAGGGGAGAGATCTGAATCAGAGGCTTTCAGACTGCCACCTGGGTAGGAAGAAAAGTCCAACATGTGACTCAGATGTCTTCCAGGTGAAGAGTTTATATGAAATTTCCTACGGTTGAGTGAACAGCCTAGAAATTAAAGAATAAAATCTTTAATCCCCTTGTCAGAATCTAAAAAAAGAACATACCAGGCTAATGTCCAACATTCACTGAGTCCTCCTGTATCACTAAGCTAAATACAAGCACAGATAACAAGAAAAGCAAAATCAGAGTCAACTTTTAAAACCAACAGTCAGAATGCAGGGTTCTATTTCCAAGTTACTAGTGACTGTGACTAGTATGTGAGAGCTCAACATACTCTCACCTGTGCCATATTTATCTACACACAGAATGGGCAAAACAACTTGCACTCAAATCTCAGTAGTGTGGTTAAAAGATATAACTACCTAGAATATATTCTGATGTCTTCAGACTAATGGAAAATAATTTTATTTGAATTTAAAAATTAAAACAGTAACTAGGGACAAAAAGATGAAGTAAATTTCACCAAACAGGCCTGCATTGTAGACATATGCATCACAGATCACCTTCCAAAAAAGCAATCTGCAATATGTATCAAGTCTTTAAAACATACTACCCTCTGACCCAGTAAATCAATTTCTACTTAGTTTTCTAGGAAACATATCTAGAAGTACTTAAGTTCCAAGAAATCTCTCTAGAAGTAGAGAAAGAAATAATCTAGTATAGGAAGTTTATGTATACAGATGTTCGCCACAGAATTATGAAAGCAAAATTTAGAAATAACCTAAAATATACAATATTAGGGAAATGGTTAAGTAAATTTCCCTAATATTTAGGAAATATGACACCAATAAAAATTACATTAACAAAGAAATGTTTTTATGAAATGTTTTTATTTATATACATTTTACATGTATGGTCTTGCCTGATTTTTTCATTTAACACTGAGGAAGACAGAGTTTAGTGAAAAAATCAGGCAAGACCATACATGTAAAATGTATATACTGCATAGCCAGGGCTCGACTACATCAAAAATGAATACAGAAAAGACTAAAGCTCCATTCTCATTTCTAATGACATAAATACCTAATAAAACAAGTAAAAAGTCCAAAGAAAAGCACCTAGAAAATAAGTCTGTCTCACAGACAATCAATGCTCACCTTTAGAATCATGCTGTTTATTTCCAAAATGGGATTTTGACTGCCTTTTTCGTGGAGGAGAGAGGTCCAAGTCATATTCATATTTGCTGTTCTTCGGGAGTGATGGAGAAGTTTTGCTAGAGGCTCTTTCTGGGGCTTTACTGCTTTTGGTTCTAGGCCGCGAATGAGGAACATTAGGAGGCAAATTGGGGGAGTCACGATGGGCCCTCCTGACCTGTGATGTGTCCAAAGAATCAAGAGTCCTTCTAGATTGAGATGTTTCAGGGGAGTTGTTACGGGCCCTTCTGTGGGGAGAGATATCTGAGGAACTGTGAAGGGCTCTCCTAGGAGATAAATCTGGTGTATCATACTGGGCCCTCCTAGGAGGTACAGCTGAAGAATGACGATGAGGCTTCCTGAGAGGAGAGGGATCTGGTGACTCATGATGGGCCCTCCTGGGGAGAGAAGGATCCGGGATATCATGACGGACCCTCCTAGGAGGAGAAGGGTCTGGGGTGTCATGACGGACCCTCCTAGGAGGTGAAGGATCCGGGGTGTCGTGACGGACTCTCCTAGGAGGTGAAGGATCCGGGGTGTCGTGACGGACCCTCCTAGGAGGTGAAGGATCCGGGGTGTCGTGACGGACCCTCCTAGGAGGTGAAGGATCCGGGGTGTCGTGACGGACCCTCCTAGGAGGTGAAGGATCTGGGGTGTCGTGACGGACCCTCTTAGGAGGTGAAGGATCTGGGGTGTCGTGATGGAAATGGCTGTGTGAAGGTAGATCTTCACTGTGACCTAAACACAAATAGCAAAGAGTCAGATTCCCACAAATACTATGTTCACCACTGGTACTCAAAGTTTCAAAAGATGTCCCAGGAGCATACATCTCAAAACTACTCAGAGCACAGCTTCTTTGCTTAGGGGCAGCAAATAGCACTCATAAACATCTTTAAAATAATCTCTCTTATTTGCCTAACAAGTCATAAATTTGCAAAGTATTTTAAATACACTTTCATATTATACTTTAAAAGGTAAGCAGAGGAGGTATCTTGTTTTACAGACATGAAACTAGAGACTAAGGAGCTGAATGGTTTCTTACCTAAGGTCACAGCTACCAAAATGAAGAGCCAGACCAAAATCCCAGTCTTCTAATTCCCAACGCAATGCTCTTCCCAAAACCTATTTGTCCAGAGTTCCGAGTCAGAGGCTCCTATGATATTTAGCCTAGGTAATTTATAGTTTGTACTCGCTCTTCTTTCAAAAGGCAAATTGACTAAATCTGTGCCAAATCAAAATGAATGCTGTCTATTACTTAATCCCATGTCGCTGTGCTCCTTCTTAGAGGGGGAGAGATCACCAAAAAAAGAGAAGAGTGAGCATTTACTCACCATCTCTACATGCCAATGCTTTATATAGATTACCTCATTTAATTCCTACAACAAGCCTAGGAGATAAATATTATCCCCCATTTTACAGATAAGAAAGTTGATACTCAGAAAGATTAAGTAATTTGACAGAGTCATACTGCTAATAAGTGGTGGAGTAAATATCCAAATCTGTATCTGTTTGACTCCAGAGTCCACGTGCAATCTTTAAAAATATGTAGTTGAGGAAAAAGCTTGAAACTTTCAATTTTCAAAGAGCTAACAGAAAAAAATGTTTATAGCAACTCGGAACATTTCCAAAATACAGTTTCTCCTCTTCCTCTGTTTCATGTCATTGAGCTCTATGGCCTAAATACAAATAAAAGCTGGGTAGAATCCAATGAATACTTGTTAAATTAAACCAAGTCAAATCCTTTACTTTGAGGAATAGGCCTATCTGATTAGAATCCACTCTTCAGAAAAGTACTGATATCTGTAGGGGCCCTGACAGTAAATCTACTCCAGGAAGTTAATAAATTCCATATTTATTAAAAAGAAAGGAAGAGTCAGAGATTAGTGAGGATATTTCCAGTAACAAATGGGGATACAGCAGTGAGAATGAGGCAAATCAGAAAGAACTATTTGTGTGTGTGTGTGCGCGCGCGTGCACGTGCGTGTGTGTGTTTATCACTTCCTAGACCTACAGATACAGAAACCAAAAGATTATCTCTGAAAAAAGGATTATGGGAAAGACTGAAACACAATTACAGGACAAGGCAGAAAATAACTTAAGAGTCTAACCACTATTCCATAACATCTGAAACTAATGTAATAGAATGTCAACTAAAAAAAAAATTTTTTTAATTTTTAAGTAAAACTGGATTCTGATAAAAGAATAATCAACTTTTCATTTATCAAACAACAATAATACACTTAAAATTAACTGAGAAAATGGTGATCACTATCCTATAGCCAACTGTCACTTTTGTTATGGATTTTTTTCCTAATCAGAATTGCAGGATAATTAACCTAAAGGCACAGAGCATAACAGAGAAAAAGACAAATCCTCTTTAGGAGTTAACTCTTCAACCCTCCATGTGTGAAAAAGGAACAAGCATCAAGGGTAAACTAGAGTTAAATAACTATCAAGCAGCAAGATTCTTGTTTATGAAGGAATGAAAACAGGCAGTAAAAAACCAGAACACTTCCACTGGCCACACAGAGCTCAAATGACTGCTGGAACCACAGCTGTGACTCACTGGGAGTATTTCATAGTCTCTGTGTCTTAGTAAGTATGTACCTATCAAGTTTTTGGAAGAGGGGAAATGACTATTAAGACAAGTGATGATTTACCAAAGAGCAGTAGGTTGCAGGAATCAAATACCTTTTAGCAATTCAATAACTCATCAAATATTTAGTAATGGCACCTCCTTGTAATAGCCTGAGGGAATACCAAGACAAATAAGACTAGGTCTGGTCTCTGTTCAGACATGACGACAAATGCCCTTTGTCCAAACCAAAAACTGAAACATTTTTTTAAAATAGGAAGTTAAAGTATTAGCCTAAGGAGAAGGTGATGAATGGGCTAGTGGAGGATAATGCACTGTAAAATACCAATATTTAAGGGAAGAACAAATAAAGATTTACTAATACAAAGGACAGAAAACATTAATCCTTGAACTATACATGAATTGCTTCATTTTGAGAGGACAGATGTTGCTCAAGTCTCTAAACTCTTCCTCATATGCCTGTATACTTCTCCAAAGTCATATCTGTGTACCAAGTGCTTGTGAGGAGTGGGTCCTGAAAGGCTCCCAAATGAGTCACTTCTTGACCTCAGTAACACTAATACCAAAACGTAAGAGAAAGTGGGATACCTGGTCTCGCAGTTCCCACATCTTACTACTTCTGAAGAAGTTCTGAATTCTATTTCACACTATATTTTTCAGGATCACTGACACACTAAACAAACTATGCACTCCTCTAAAAAAAGTATATAAAAGAAAAAAAGGCTTCCCCTATAAATGGTTAATTTAGATTTATCTATTATTGGAACTCACCTCCGAGAAGCTTCCATTTGGCACTAGAACGAAAGGTTTCCATTTGCTTTACCTCTTCTGGTCGCTCATCCACAAATTCGGCCACCTGAGGAAGTGAGGACATGGTATCGAGGAAATACACCGGATCCAGCCAAGAAGCATTGTTGTCTCAAGAACCTGAAGCTATGATCATTCCCATTCCTAATATACATGGCACACACAGCCTCAAAATAGCCATGAAGAACCACACAGTGGTCCTCAGTTATACTTGCTCCATAAACATCTGATTATCGCCGGATGGTTTAATTCTAGATCTTTCTCTGACTAATCAATTTCTCTCCAAAAGTTAATTTTTTTCATTACAAACCTTTTTATTAACCTGCCAGGTACACAACTGCCACTTGTAAGATATAAGCTAAATTCCTTCTACCTTTTTATTTTTACCTCTTTATTTTTATTATATTGTATTCAGAGTGAAAACACAGGTGGAATCCCATGCTTATCACTCATCAAGGGCTTCGGGTTCCTTGAGAAACTTTCCTTACTATAGGTAGTCACAATGACAGGTATTCTTGAATCCAACCAAAAGATGTCATTAAGATATACACAGAATCATAGAATCTTTGAGAGAAAATCACATATCATCCAAACTCCCAAATGTGGAATTTTCTCTATAGCATCCTTGATAAATGATCACTCATCCAGTCCCTCCCTGTCAGGAAATCAATTCAGGAAACTCATTATGTTACAAGGCAGTCCACCGCAATTTTTTGGGCAGTGCTAGAAAGTTCTTAGTTTTATCAGACTCATATCTACCTTTCTACAACTTCTTTCCATTGACTCTAGTTCTGACTTCTGATGTAACTGATCGTCTTTCCACATGACAGACTTTCAAGATGACTGGCATAATAAATTCTAGTTACAGAGTAGCAACTATGTGCAAGGCACTGTGTTTTGTATTTTACGGTCTCACTGGGTCCTTACAATAGCACTGCAAAGAAATGTTCTACAATACTAAAGAGCAAACTATGACTCAAAGTTAAATAACTTTCTCAATGTCACGAGCTAGCAAGTGGCAGAACTGGAATTCAAATTAGGTCATAATTCCTCTCTACTTCTCTTCTCCCAAGATCCTACCATCATTCTCACATAACCTAGTTTTGAGATCTCTCACTGGGCATTAAAAGCACAGGCTTTCAAGCAATATAAATTGAGACCTAAATCCCCAGCTCTGCCAGTTAATATTTGCGTAACTTTTGGCAAATTATTCTCTCTAGGCCCCAACTTCCTCATTTGTAAAAGTAGGTTTCAAAGGATTGCTATAACTCAATGAGATAGTTCATGTAAGCTCAGCAGTACTTGGTACATGGTAAACGCTCAATAAATTATACCTATTATTCTTGTGCTGCCACTGCTATTGTGGTTGTCCTAGTGATGGTCTTCCAGCAACAAAAATGAATTCAATTCTGAGATCTGTTTTAACTAGTGTAGAGAAAAGTGGATCTTCCTTGTTTAGGTTTTGGGGCAAACACAGGAGCAAAAGACAATATTATAAAGGAAAATTAATAGACAACTACATAAAAATTAAAAATTTTTAATGCCAAAACTATTATAAATGAAAAGGCAAATGACAAAATATACCTATAACATATAAAATAAATTATACATCCTTATATAAATATCAAACAAATCAATTTAAAAAATTAAAATTGCAAATTTTTTACAAAATGGACAAAATACCAAGAAATTCATTAAAATACAAATGCCCAACATGAAAAATTATTTCACTATTTTTCAAAGAAACTGGATACCACTGTTTACCTGCCAAATTGGCATAGGTCTGCCATGGTTTTTGTTATAGTTAATAATGTTCTGGTATTGATGAAGAAATGAAAAAACTGGAATTCTTATACATACCTAGTGACAGTATAAATTGGTACTATCTTTTGGAAAGCAATATGGAACTACAGCTCAAAAGGGCTATAATTTCGTATTATAGGAATAAAGAAATAACGGATTCTTATAATAATTTATGTATCTTTATCGAAGCATTATGATATTTCAGTACAAGAAACAACTTGTATGTCCAGTAATAAGATATGTTAAATTAATATATATATGAACTACTATGCAACCATTCAAGATCACATTCTCAAAGAATACTTTAAAGTCTTACTAAAGTATTGGCAACATATTAAGTGAAAGAGCAGGCTCGAAAACCATAGGTACGGTATGATCACAATTATATTTGAAAAAATAATTAAAAGTATGTATAATCTATTAATTAAAGAAATATGCATCCAAATGGTAGCAGTTGTTACCACTGGATGGTCACTGTATAAGTGATTTTTATATTCTTTTTAAAACTTTAAACTCTTATATAATTACCAAATATTCCATAATAAATATGTATTGCTTTTATAAAATAAAAAAATAAAAACAAATGTTGTAAACATTAATTATGTTTGATTCTGACTGAAACTGGTTCCTCATGATCATTATTTCCCTTATAATTAATAACAGACTATCTTTCAAATAATCTATTGTAGAATATGCTGGGGATTAACATTAACTATATTTATCTGGAATTCATCTTTACAATTTTTTACCACAATACAACCTATCAACAGTTTTCCTTTTCATCTGTTTCTCAGTTATTCTCAGCAAAGGTTCCATGATTATACTAATGCTAGGTTATCTGCCTAACTGGCTTTTGCCCAACTGGCTCTTATCCTTCAAAACTCATTTCAGATATTTACATTCTTCATAGAATTTCCCAATGGAATGGAATAAAAAGTATGCAACCTCCTCTGTGCTCTAATAACATTTGGTACATAAATGAAATATAGCTTCGACATTATATTGTTGAAATTATTTGAAACTCGGTCTCCCATTTTAGGGTATGAACTCTAGTGTACAGACGCTATGTTCTATTAATCTACATATCTCCAGTACTTAGGCAACAATATATAAATTTTTTAGTTCAATCAATGAATAAAAGGAACAAAGAAAAAGTTTCCTATAATTGAACCTGAACATTGTTTTTAAGGTAAATTCCAACAAATTGAACCCTGCTAATTCTAGTCATGGCTCTATCACTGATGTTGAGGAGTCCTGCCTCTATGATTAGTTCCCATTTCTAGGCTGATGAGGCCTTCCATAAAAAAAGAAGACAGTGTACAGGCATCATCAAAGAGGACTATTTTAAAACAGCTCTTTGGAAAGTGTCACCACTTCTCTGCCTTCAACTTTCCCTCTTACAAATCTACCCTGCACTGGGAGTAGAGACTGAGAGGCTTGAATTTCAAAGTCCTCGCAGCCTCAAAATATACATACCACAGGCAAATCTCCATCATCTTCCTCTTCCTCCTTTTCTGGTTTAGTGGTGGAGATAGATGTCCAGCTCACATCATCATCCACAATTCGCATTCTAAATGTGAAAAATAAAAAGATCGAAAAGAAAGACACATTCTTATAACAGTCTATGAACACTATTGGTTTTAGGATAAAGCTCAATCCAGTCTTTGTCTATATGGCAAACTTCATCCTAAACCACTGCCTCTTCAGTTCACTACCTCACTGGTCATCTTTTGGTACCTAGCATGAGCCAAATTCCATCCGATATCAGTTTCCCCATACTCAGTTCCTTCCCTCAGACTGACCTACTCTTCTCTTTCTTTACTTACTCTCATTCTTAAGATTGTAGCAACTTCCTTGAGCACACCTTCCTGACTATTCTCCCTTAAGTATCTTAACTAAGAAGCCCTGTTACATATTCTTGGAATACTTTCATTGCATTTATCACACAGGATATAAATCAATTAGCTGCATACTTAGTTGTTTAAAGCCTGTAAACTATAAGCTCCCTCAGAATAGAGACTACGACTTTCTCATTCAGAGCAGTATGCTCAACACTGCAGTAACCGGCGTAAGTATTCAAGAAATGTTTGTTGCACAGATAAACTGTGGATGAGTCCCAAAAAATAACAATTACTACCATGATATGAACAGTGATCTAAAAAGCCAAGATCACGTTATACATTTCTAATCACACAATAAAACAATAATCATTTAATATAAGTGCTATATCATTCAGTATTACTCTCATTTTAAAGATAAAGAAACTGAAGCTTAGATAGATGAACTGTCTTGCCCAAAGCCGCACAGCCCATAAAGTGGCACAGCTAGGACTCAAACTATAAGGAGTGCTGCTCCAAAGCTCAAGCTATTTTCACTACATGGCACTACTTCCAAAGAATCCACACAAGTCAAAGGGGTAGGAAGACAGAAGGCAAGAACCCAACCAGGAAAGGATATGGATTGGTTCTTTGGAACTACTTGACTTTACTGGGTATATCAGTTTCCTAAGACAAACTGGGTGGCTTAAAACAACAGAAATGTATTTCTCTCACAGTTCTGGAGGCTTGGAGTCTGAAATCAAGGTATCTGAAAGGCAATGCCCACTGGGCTCTAGGGGAGAATCTTTCCTTAATTCTTCCAAATTCTGGTAACCCCAGGCATATCTTAGCTAGTGGCAGCCAGTCCAATCCCAGCCTCCATCATCATGTGGTCATTCTCCTTGTATACCTGTTTCTGTGTCCAAATTTCCCCCTTCTTAAAAGGACATCAGTCATACAGGACTAAGCCCCCTATTACATATATATATATATTTCTAAATAATGTCACATCCTGAGCTTCTGGGTGGGCATGAATTGGGGGGAAGGGGCACTATTCAATTCAGTACACTGGGCCACAAAAATTTTTTCATCTGAAAAATGGGGATAACAACACTTACTTCATGGTATTGCGAAGCTTAAATAAATTCATATATGTACTTAGAACATAGACTGGCACATGACAAGAACCGTATAAGTGTTAGTTGTTATTGTTAGTAGTAGTAGTAGTAGTAGTAGCAGTAGTAGTAGTAAGAGTAATAGAAAGTGAGTATAGGTCTCTGACTCAGGACCAGAGTCCTTGGGATTGGAGAAGGTCCACGGACAGGTTCTGGGTCCTATAACACCTAAGTACCGAGGCTTTGAATTAGTTCCACCATTATTCTCGGGGCACAATATTCATTCTCTATGGGAGAGGACGAAAGTCTACAAAGGCGGGAAAAGAGTAAGGAAAGTTACAGCCCGGCTTGAACACATCGAAGACAGGGCTCAGGGGCGCGAGGAGCGACCAACACGGGCTCTAAGCTCATGAAGAGTTCCAACAGCCTTCAGAGAGCGAGGCCCAACGGGCGTTGATACTGGAAGAGCCGGGCGAGGGCGGAGTTGGGATGGTGAGGGGCGGCAAGCCGCCGCAGACCCTGCCCCTGCCAGGACCAACTCACCCCTTGCCGCCAGCCCCGCTAGGCTTCGGCCGCTTTTTGCGACGTTTGCGACAAGACTCGGTACCCCCAGTAACGCCGGCATCTGCCCCAGACAAGTAGCGCTTCAAATATTCGGCCTTGGAGAGCGGCGGAGCTGCCGCCATGGCAGCGGCGAGGGCGGGGCGACGGATCGGCGCTGAGGACAAAATTCTCGAACGCAAAACGGACGATGGTGGGGAGGTGGGGCCAGAACCGGAAGTGACGGAGTGCGCTCAGAACTGCGGGGGCTGACGGGTGAGAGCGTTTGCAGGCTTACAGGGAATGTGCATCCGCCCCGCCTAGTCACCTATTCAGCCCTCTGACGGTGCAACCACGTTTCTTGTTTGTTCATCCACCTGCTCATTCAGCAGACTATGCCGCAAGCCGTGGGGCTACAGCTACGACCCAAAGATCCCCCAGCACCTTCAAGAGGACCGTAATGTAGTGGTTAAAAAACATAGGCTCTGGAGTTGCATGACTTCCTAGCTCCACGACCTTAGGCAAGTTATCTAACAAATTGGGGATAATAATGGCATGTAACTCAATGGTTGAGAGGACTGAGATAATACTGTGTAAGGTGCTTAGAACAGTATCTGGCACATAGCGTTATGTAGGTTATTTTTTTTTCGTGTTTAAGTGGGGAGGAATCAGCCCTAATAGGCTTCCAAGTACTATTCGAAAAAGAGGAAGTCAGAAATTCCAAACCAAATATAAGTACTATGGAAAATGTGGAGGCCTCTAACCTGTGTAACTTCCCTACATTTGATGATATTGATAGTCTGTAGCTATCTCTTGTATAGAACCTTTCCAGTGAAAAAGACCATCTATTTTCAGCATAGCAAAAGACGGATGCTAGAGAGATTTAATTCTAATACATTTAGTGGGAAGAAAAGACTTTTCTTCTTGTGGGCATTAAGAGCTTTACTTGAATTATCTCATTTAACCCTTACACTCCTCAGATAGTTTTATTGTCTTTATTTTACAAATGAGAAAACAAGCTTGGAAAGGTTAAGGAAGTTGCCCAACTTCACACAGCCAGAACATGACCGACCCTTGAGAGCAGAGGCTAGCAGAGTGGGTTGCAGGAGGCAATCCAAATTTTTTTAAATCAGATATTTTTACCAAATCATGTAGAAGTTAAATTTTTGTCACTGTTTTAAAGTATGTTAGTCAAGAAGGTATTGATATACCTCATATACATATGTTGGGATACATGTTCAAAAATATACAAAACAGGTTTGGCGATTACTGCCCTGTAGCTTGAACTTTTAACCACTAGGGTATGCCGAATGGTCACAGCACATGCCCAGGGGAAAAAAGAAAAAAAAAAAAAAAAGGTGGTGGGTTTCTGAGGGCTTGCGAGAAGGGGACACTGGATCAACAGAGGGCTTTACTAGCTGGAGGGCCCTATACAACCCTACCTTGGCTGCTAGTCCACTTTGATATATCTCAAAATGAAGTCCACAGCCTTGCTTCTCCAGCCTGGTGTCAGTAGACTTTTAGAAAAGTCTCACATTTCTGCTCCAGTGAACATTAGCAGTATAGTCCTCTCGGCCCCCATGTGCCCATCTCCTGCCCATTTCTGTCTTCAGTTCCACCCGCTACTCAGTACCCAACCTTAAGCTCATGTCCCAACCCTGTCTACCTTACAGGACAGTTAAGCAGTATTGCCCTCTCTCTGTAGTTGCATCTAATAAAGCAAGTGCAATAATTACGGACTTGACCTCAAAATGCTTAGGAACTCAGGTTTTTGATTGGCCCGGGTTTGAAGCCTGCCTATTCGAGCTTTAATTCCTTCTGGAAGTTACCTAACTTATCTGAAGCTGTTTCTTCACCTATAAAATGGGGATATTATTGATAGCTACTTTTTCCCAGAAATGGTTTAAAGCAGAAACAGACACTTTAGAATTTTTGTGATATGAGAGAACCTAAGTCTAAAAGCACTTCACAATTAACTCACAAATCCTCATAAAAACCCTATATACCATGATTATCCCCATTTTACAGACCAGGAAACTGAAGCATTAGAGGTGCTTCCTGAATCCCGAGGTGAACACACGGAACCAGCACTGGTTCTTTTCTCTTCACAATTGAAAACACTGCTATTTTCCTGTAGAGGAAATAAAAATAAAGCCAAGTGTCTTAAACATCACTGCTCTAAATTTAAGAAGCACCATTCCTTCCAATGTGCAATAGGCAACTAACATGCCACAGATGTAAAAAGAACGTTATCTTACTGAACCTACCATTAATACTTTCAGCTAGCAAAGTCAATTGCCCTTCACACTTATTCCCAGTGTTCACCTCATCATGACACAGATGTACATTCAATGTCTGTGTGTTCACAGCTCTAATGGCTAAATACGGATATATTTAACATGATTGAAATATGAAGTAGAAGTACCCTCGCAAATGAACTTTTCTTTCCCTTAATATAATCGCAAAACTTTCCACTTAAATTTTCTCCTGTTTGTGAAACTGAATCTACGTTCTTGGGCTGGTGCTTTGACTGTTTCACCTTCCCTGGCCTTAGAGCAGGGCCCTTCCCACCATATTTTGTTACCTCCGTGCTACCTCCAATGCCCTAACAAGGCTCAGTCCAGAAAAGAAGAATCATGAGCATCTGCTGAGGATTATCATGTAACAGATTTTAACCACATGCTGTATGCTAGAGGCTGTGGGGTAAGACGCAGTTAGATGAAAACTCCGTCCCCGTCAGGTTGTATGAAGTGAGACTGGAGTTGGAGTTAAGTGTAAAACAAGGCTGCCAGGACTTGGCCCTATCAGCAGAAAGTACCTTAGCTGAGTTACCCCAGTCTGGTACCTCCTCCTGTCTTTGCAGGTTCAGAAACCCAGGTTATCATTTCCCAATAACTGGTTGAAGTCTAGATGATTGCCTCACACCAAACTCACAAGACTCTGTAATAAACGAGTGCCATTTTTTCCCTTCGCAATGGGAGATGAACCTGACACCAGGGCCCACTTTCCAAGCACAGCCAACCCATATGGAAAGTCATTCAAGAGACCAAATGATAGATCAACAGGTTGCCTGGTGAACTCAGATCCTCAAGTCAATTGGAAGTAGATCTATGGACAATCTATTAGAGTAGAACACTTGGTTAAAAGTCTTCAAAATGTTGCAGCTTTATAGTTTGTCAGTCATTTGCTAACTTTAGTCTCCAACTTAAAACACCGTACTCTTGCCTTCACAGAAATTAGAAAAACAGGTATGGGAGTCAGTCCCACGTGAAAGTAGTTAAGATGCCAAAGAATTCAGTATGGAGAGGTATCTGAAAACAGAACCTTTGAAAACAAATGCATTTAAGAGGGAGAAGAGAGATTCCAAATAAGGAATGCGCAGTCATGAGAGAAGCAGGGGTGCAGTAGTACAGGGTTCAAAGAGATGGTCCACTGTCAAATGTGACAGAAATAAAGAACAGAGAATGAGAACATTTTCCAAGTAGAAAATCCCACCTGTGATCTTTGAGAATAGTTTAATAGAGCAGTGAGAGTGGAGGAGTGTGATATACTAAGTCATCTCCTAGCATCGAGTTCAGTTTGCAGCACAAAGCACTGAGGTTTGCCATAGTATCTCAATCAACAGGTGTTTACTGAACAAATCCCTGCAGCCAGCACTGCAGAAATCACCAGTGGTTAATGCAGTGCAAAGAGCACTAGCTGGGGAGTCCAGGGCCCTGGGCTGAAATACTGACTGGGTCATGCAACTATAAGCAGACCCCTCCCCCTCTGGTTATTTCCCCATTTGTAACTGAGAGAGCAGGACTTGATCTCAAATACCCCGTTTTCCAGCCTCAGAGCTTTTGCATTTGCAGTCCCCTCTGCCTGGAAATCTCTTCCCCCAGCTATCCATCCACATGGCTTATTCCCTTACCTCCTTTTCGGCTTTGCCCAAGTGTCAAATTATCAACTTCTTAAGATCTTCCCTGACCACTCTACTCGAAACACCTGCCTCCAGGTGATTCATCCCCCTTCCATGCTTTCACCTTCCTCCATAACACTAATCAGTTTGACATAACTTTACTTGTGGGTTCATTATCAATCAGTTTCCCCCACTAGACTTGAAGCTTCATGAAAGTAGAGCTTTGTTTCGTTCACTGTTCAGTGGTGTGCTTGGCAGAAAGCAAGCATTCACACATTTATGAAGGAATGAATGAAATACCAGCTCCAATCTCCAAAGTACAGTGGCCACACTGGAGAAAACTTTCTTCAGGAGGCTGAAATTTTACCAGCATGTTGAACAAGGACAGTGAATTCAGAGGCCAGTACTATTTGAAAGCCATCGTTTTAATGAGAACTTCTTCGCCCTCCTATCAGAAGTCTCCTTTCTTGGTGAGAATGTTTTATACACCCCAAACCAAAACCCAAACTCCAGCTGTAGCTGTCTCCCATCTTCTTCAACTTCAGAGTTCTCGCCTTAGAGGAGAGCAATGCGTGGATGGAGGGTAAGGAATTGTTGGAAAAAAAGTGATAACGTTCCCCATGGTTCGTTTCCGGTCTCTTTACAAGCTGATTCGAAACCTAAGTAAGGTCAAATAACCCAACAGGCTTGCACTTGCATCACAAACTGTTTAGAAAATGTGCCTAGATCTGACTCAGACCAGGTGCCCTCCCCACATAAGCAAGGCCTGGTAGGAAGGATACTCCCAGCCTTTTCCAGTAGTTATAAATAACCTCTTCAGTCTGAGCAGTGCTCTGCCCACTGCTACCGTTGTGGGGCCAGGCCTGTCTCATAACCCTCTGTCCTCATGTCATTGAGCCCTAGCTCCTCATTTTGGTCAAATGTGCGCTTATAATGTTCCACCTTCATCTCAGGATCATCTTCAGGTGCGTACACATTCTGCAAGGCCAAGGACAGATAATCAGTACCTGTGCCATCCTGCTATCCTTTCTCCCCCAGGCAGCTCCTACTTTCCCAAGAACTCAATGAGTTCTTGATTCTCTAAGCACTGCCAATTCCCCAGGACTCAGCTCAACTAGTGGGAAGCAATAGAGCCCACATGGGCCAGGAGGGGGATCGACCAGCCCCAGGGAGAATTAAGGAACAGCTTGCCTAAAATACTTTCTATCTGCACCTTCTTATGAAGTGTATAGCAATAGCCTTAATCGTGGAGAAACCTTAAAAAGTTTTGCCTGACCCACAGTAAATGC